GATGGCACCGCGTGCACCCGCCCCGAGCCGAGACGCTGCACTCTGCCTCCCTCGCTGCGGTTTCTTCTGCTCCGGGGCAGCCTGCGGGCGCGGGGCAGCAGGGCAGCTGAAGATGGGCTTATTCGGTCCCCAGACTCGGCTTCCCTTTGTCTCTCTGTGCAGCGTAGCAGTGTTACGTATGATCACAGTCTGGGCAGGCCCGCTCCAAGACGCTTTCCTTTCGCCGAACTGAATCTCAACTCATTAAACAAAACCTGCCCGAGTCACCTGCCCTATCCTGTGTCTCAGTGCTGCTGAGATCCTCGCATACGAAGTCGGATGGCACCTGTCAGTGACTGGTGTGTCACACTCATTGCTGTGTCCTCACGGTTCATCCATGACGTGCGTCAGAATTAATTTATTTTCATTTTTTGAGACAGTCCTGCTATGTAGTTCTGGCTGGCCTCCAAATCAAGGTGATCCTCCTGCCTCAGCCTCCCAGGTGCTGGGATTAGTTATGGCCATTGCCCCTTTCCAAGTAATGAACAGTACATGCTTCCTGGCCATTTATCCTCTTTGGAGGAGGATCTACTCAAATCTTTCTTATTTTTTAGTTCAGGCTTTAAAAAAACTTTTTTTGTAGAATAGGAGTTCTTTATATTATTCTCGATTTTTTTTTTTCTTTTTGGTACTGGGTATAGAACTCGAGTCCTTGCACTTGCAAGGCAGGCAGCAGTATATTATTCTAGATTTTAACCCCTTTTCAGATATGTTATTTGCACATTTCCTATTCCATAGTTGCCTTTTTTTCCACTGTTGATGTGCTGAAGTTTAAAATTTTGATGCTCTACAGTTATTTTTACTTTCGGTGCCTTCGCTTTTGGTGGCATTTCCAAGAAATCATTGCCAAATCCACCATCATCCAGTTTTGTTTTGTTTTTCTCTGAAAGCTTTTATATTTTCATTTCCCTGTGGTACTGGGGATTGAACCCAGGGCCTCTGCCCTGAGCTACACTAACCCCTCAGCGAGTGGGCAGGGCCCAGGTACCTGCAATGGAGAGGGCTGTGCCCACGTGGCTCCGTCCACCCATCCTTTTATCTGTGTCCGCCTTTCCATCCGTCCTTCCCTCCTTCCATCCGTCCGCCTTCTCCCACCTGTCTGTCCATCCGTTCATCCATCTGTCCGTACATCTTTCCGTCTTAGTTGCTTTTCTTGCTGAGACCAAATGCCCGACATCCAGAATGAAAAGGGTGGAGGCTCCTTTGGCACCCCGTTGGTAGAGGCTTCAGTCCATGGTCCGCTGGCTCCAAGGCAGGGTGGCGTGGCCGAGGCGCTCATGGTGGACGGAAGGGAGCCGAGCAACCAGGGGCCTCAGCAGCGGCTTTCAGCCCTTTGTCCCGACCCCCGGGGCCCTCCTCGCGGGTCCGCCAGCCG